CAAGGATGTCAGGGACAAGATTGTAGACCTACACAAGGCTGGAATAGGCTACAAGACCATCGCCAAGCAGCTTGGTGAGAAGGTGACAATAGTTGGTGCGATTATTCGCAAATGGAAGAAACACAAAATAACTGTCAATCTCCCTCAGCCTGGGGCTCCATGCAAGATCTCACCTCGTGGAGTTGCAATGATCATGAGAACGGTGTGGAATCAGCCCAGAACTACACGGGAGGATCTTGTAAATGATCTCAAGGCAGCTGGGACCATAGTCACCAAGAAAACAATTGGTAACACACTACGCCGTGAAGGACTGAAATCCTGCAGCGCCCGCAAGGTCCCCCTGCTCAAGAAAGCACATATACAGGGCCGTCTGAAGTTTGCCAATGAACATCTGAATGATTCAGAGGAGAACTGGGTGAAAGTGTTGTGGTCAGATGAGACCAAAATCGAGCTCTTTGGCATCAACTCAACTCGCCGTGTTTGGAGGAGGAGGAATGCTGCCTATGACCCCAAGAACACCATCCCCACCGTCAAACATGGAGGTGGAAACATTATGCTTTGGGGGTGTTTTTCTGCTAAGGGGACAGGACAACTTCACCGCATCAAAGGGACGATGGACGGGGCCATGTACCGTCAAATCTTGGGTGAGAACCTCCTTCCCTCAGCCAGGGCATTGAAAATGGGTCGTGGATGGGTATTCCAGCATGACAATGACCCAAAACACACGGCCAAGGCAACAAAGGAGTGGCTCAAGAAGAAGCACATTAAGGTCCTGGAGTGGCCTAGCCAGTCTCCAGACCTTAATCCCATAGAAAATCTGTGGAGGGAGCTGAAGGTTCGAGTTGCCAAACGTCAGCCTCGATACCTTAATGACTTGGAGAAGATCTGCAAAGAGGAGTGGGACAAAATCCCTCCTGAGATGTGTGCAAACCTGCTGGCCAACTACAAGAAACGTCTGACCTCTGTGATTGCCAACAAGGGTTTTGCCACCAAGTACTAAGTCATGTTTTGCAGAGGGGTCAAATACTTATTTCCCTCATTAAAATGCAAATCAATTTATAACATTCTTTACATGCGTTTTTCTGGATTTTTGTTGTTGTTATTCTGTCTCTCACTGTTCAAATAAACCTACCATTAAAATTATAGACTGATCATTTCTTTGTCAGTGGGCAAACGTACAAAATCAGCAGGGGATCAAATACTTTTTTCCCTCACTGTACATTTATTGTTTAGATCAAATATGACTGTCAGATAGATTGGAATAGGATAGGAGAATGTGTGTGCTCTATTAATTATATTTCTATCTTCAACATGCAGTTCCAGATACAGCCCTGCCATTAGTTGAAGGCAGCAAATCGAATAGTAACTTCCTGGGATCTGTATTAAAATCTTTTTTTTAAGTAGTTGCTTTATCAGACCTGTATTCAAATAGTTTTAAAAAGTCATAATTTTTTGGGATCTGTATTCAAATAGTTTTAAAAAGTAGTCATTTTTTGGGATCTGTATTCAAATAGATTAAAAAAGTAGTCATGTTTTGGAGTCTGTTTTCAAATAGTTTTAAAAAGTAGTCATTTTTGGGGATCTGTATTCAAATAGTTTTAAAAGTAAGTATTTGTTCCCCTGAAAAGTGGAACCTGAATGAATTCCAATTAAATGGACCTGCCTAAAAGGGGTCAAATAAAAGTGTAAACACAAACGCTGTGACACAAACGAAACAAAGAGACGTCCTCTCATCTGGAACCGTGCATGGACTCGTTTAATGAAAGCCATTTTGCCTTGATAGATCACATTTCCAACGTCATTCAAACCCCCATCACTAGTGACCTAGTAAATCTGATATTGTTTTCCTACCCTGGTCAATACAGAGAGTAACATGGAATGTTCCAGTATCACATCTACACTTCATGTTACTCCCAGAACTCTACAATACCTTGAGCTTCCTTCTGGCGTTGAACTTTTTCAGGCACTCCACCGTCTCCTGTCTGTGCATGCAGGAGGCCACAGTGGAGCGGTGCTGTAGAGAGAGAGAAAAAAGACATGTCAGGTTAGACACCGGGAGGGATCTTACTGGACATTGTGATCATTGTGAGAATGTATGGACGTGCATGCTCTGTACTCACTGAGATCCAGGGGTGTTTGAGGACCTCTGAGGCTGTGATGCGCTTGGCAGGGTTGATGGTCAACATCTTATTGATGAGATCCTTGGCCTCTGGAGTAACAGTGTCCCACTCTGGCGAGGGGAACTACAATACATACACGAGGAGGTATTTGGTATTTACATAGAATTATAAACTGGGTGGTCCGAGCCCTGAATACTGATTGGCTGACCGCCGTGGTATATCAGACCGTATACCACGGTATGACAAAACATTTATTTATACTGCTTTAATTACGTTGGTTTATGAAGGGACAGAGTAGAGGCATATGAAAGGACAGAGTAGAGGCATATGCAAGGACAGAGTAGAGGCATATGAAAGGACAGAGTAGAGGCATATGAAAGGACAGAGCCATGGGCTACTATGACTGCAATTGAAGAAGAAAAAGCAGAAAGAAACCATTATCGGGCACTGAATCCAGGATGATTAATCTCTTTGGAAACTGGTGTGTTACACAATCCTGGAGAGACACTTTGTGCATTTCAACTGTTCCCCAGCAGCCGTGAGCAGTGAAGGAATGGAGCGGCCTTGTTGCAGTAAGAACAGGACCTAGGAGGGATGTGACTCACATCGTAGGCCCCAGCCTTGATCTGCTGGTACAGTCTGTGCTGGTCCTCATCCCAGAACGGAGGGTAGCCCACCAGCAGGATGTACAGGATCACGCCTGGCAACACATACGCTATACATCACTGTACAATAGAAGACTGTCACACCTGGCAACACAGACGTTATACATCACTATACAATAGAAGACTGTCAAACCTGGCAACACAGACGTTATACATCACTATACAATAGAAGGCTGTCACACCTGGCAACACAGATGTTATACACTGAGTGTACAAAACATTAAAAACACCTGCTCTTTCATGGCATAGACTGACCAGGTGAATCCAGGTGAAAGCTATGATCCCTTATTGATGTCACTTGTTAAATCCACTTCAATCCGTGTAGATGAAGGTGAGGAGACAGGTTAAAGAAAATGTAAAGAAGGATTTTTAAGCCTTGAGACAATTGAGACATGGATTGTGTATGTATGTGTGCCATTCAGAGGGTGAATGGGCAAGACAAAATATTTAAGTTCCTTTGAACGAGGTATGCTAGTAGGTGCCAGGCGCACCGGTTTGTGTCAAGAACCGCAACGCTGCTGGGTTTTTCCACACTCAACAGTTTCCCTTGTGTATCAAGAATGGTCCACCACCCAAAGGACATCCAGCCAACTGTGGGAAGCATGGGCCAGCATCCCTGTGAAACGCTTTCGACACCTTGTAGAGCCCATGCCCCGACAAATTGAGGCTGTTCTGAGGGCAAAATGGGGTGCAACTCAACATTAGGAAGGTGTTCTCAATGTGTACTTCACTATACAATAGAAGGCTGTCACACCTGGCAACACAGACGTTATACATCACTATACAATAGAAGGCTGTCACACCTGGCAACACATACGTTATACATCACTATACAATAGAAGGCTGTCACACCTGGCAACACAGACTTTATACATCAATATACAATAGAAGTATCACACAGCACTCTAGTTACTTAAGAATTAACTAGCATAAAGTACATCCTGAAAATCTCTCTAACTTTGATGAAAAGAAATGGTGCTGCAGTAATCGATACTGCTGAATCTTGATCGCTCACTAGGGAGCAGTGTATGTGTGTATGTATTCCATAAACACCCTCCCCCCAACTCCCTCTCTCTGGGTGAAAGGTCTCTCTGGGGGGTTAACCATGTGTGTGTGTGTGTGTGTGTGTGTGTGTGTGTGTGTGTGTGTGTGTGTGTGTGTGTGTGTGTGTGTGTGTGTGTGTGTGTGTGTGTGTCTGTGGTGTGTCTGTGTGAATGTGTGTGTGTGTGTGTATGAGTGTGTGTGTGTATGTGTGAGTGAGTGAGTGAGTGAGTGAGTGAGTGAGTGTGTGAGTGAGTGAGTGAGTGAGTGAGTGAGTGAGTGAGTGAGTGATGTGAGTGAGTGAGTGAGTGAGTGAGTGAGTGAGTGAGTGAGTGAGTGAGTGAATGAGTGAGTGAGTGAGTGAGTGACTGAGTGAGTGAGTGAGTGAGTGAGTGAGTGAGTGAGTGAGTGAGTGAGTGAGTGAGTGAGTGAGTGAGTGACTGAGTGAGTGAGTGAGTGAGTGAGTGACTGAGTGAGTGAGTGAGTGAGTGAGTGAGTGAGTGAGTGAGTGAGTGAGTGAGTGACTGAGTGACTGAGTGAGTGACTGAGTGAGTGACTGAGTGAGTGACTGAGTGAGTGCATGTGTATTCCACACACAGCTGTGTGCACATACAGATCCAGTTCCATGTCAGGACGTTAGGAATCTGAGAATGAAGCCCTGCCCACTCCCACTCCCACCTGCCCACACTGTCGCCCCTCTCAGCCCTCAACCTTATGTCTCTTGTGACTTCATCTCTGCCCAGCTCACAGACCCATCGGCCATGAAGCCCACACACATCTCATTGGGAGCAGCAAGACAAAGCCATATCAAAAGGCAGGGAAATATAGCTGTGCATAGCGATGAGCATCTCCCGCTTCAAAAGACAAACCTGCACAGAGTGATAGCTTGAAACGACAATTAGTTTGAGAAAGATCTAACCAAACAGGGTTAAACTGCTGAATCCAGCCGAGCTGAAGAGCAGCTCCTCAACTCAGTGTGAAAAGTGGCTGTACTACTACATATTGTCAAAATAATTATTTATATACGATTCATATGATATGGATATACACTGAGAGTACAAAACATTAAAAACACCTGCTCTTTCCAATATTACAATATACACTATATATACTGTACATATTATGTTCTAGGTAAGAGTTGTCTACGCATCGGAGTACCATTTCAATCATCTATCTAAATAGACCAGAGGATGTCCAAGGAGATGAATTCTGCCACCTTGTTGACACAGAGGCCCATGGTATTGAGGCCTGTGGTACTGAGGCCTGTGGTACTGAGGCCTGAGGTATTGAGGCCTGTGGTAATGACGCCTGTGGTACTGAGGCCTGTGGTACTGAGGCCTGTGGTAATAACGCCTGTGGTACTGAGGCCTGTGGTACTGAGGCCTGTGGTACTGAGGCCTGTGGTACTGAGGCCTTTGGTACTGGGGCCTGTGGTACTGAGGCCTGTGGTAATGATGCCTGTGGTACTGAGGCCTGTGGTACTGAGGCCTGTGGTACTGAGGCCTGTGGTACTGAGGCCTGTGGTACTGGGGCCTGTGGTAATGACGCCTGTGGTACTGAGGCCTATGGTATTGAGGCCTGTGGTACTGAGGCCTGTGGTATTGAGGCCTGTGGTACTGAGGCATGTGGTACTGAGGCCTGTGGTACTGGGGCCTGTGGTACTGAGGCCTGTGGTAATGAGGCCTGTGGTAATGACGCCTGTGGTACTGAGGCCTGTGGTACTCAGGCCTGTGGTACTGGGGCCTGTGGTATTGAGGCCTGTGGTATTGAGGCCTGTGGTACTGAGGCCTGTGGTACTGAGGCCTGTGGTACTGGGGCCTGTGGTACTGAGGCCTGTGGTATTGAGGCCTGTGATATTGAGGCCTGTGGTACTGAGGCCTGTGGTACTGAGGCCTGTGGTACTGGGGCCTGTGGTAATGATGCCTGTGGTACTGAGGCCTGTGGTATTGAGGCCTGTGGTACTGAGGCCTGTGGTATTGAGGCCTGTGGTACTGATGCCTGTGGTACTGGGGCCTGTGGTACTGAGGCCTGTGGTAATGAGGCATGTGGTAATGACGCCTGTGGTACTGATGCCTGTGGTACTGAGGCCTGTGGTACTGAGGCCTGTGGTATTGAGGCCTGTGGTACTGAGGCCTGTGGTACTGAGGCCTGTGGTATTGAGGCCTGTGGTATTGAGGCCTGTGGTAATGACGCTTGTGGGACTGGGGCCTGTGGTACTGAGGCCTGTGGTACTGAGGCCTGTGGTATTGAGGCCTGTGGTACTGAGGCCTGTGGTACTGAGGCCTGTGGTACTCAGGCCTGTGGTACTGAGGCCTGTGGTACTGAGGCCTGTGGTACTGTATGTATATAGACATAGAGAGAGAGCTCAGATCAGATCAACACACTGCTGCCTTCTCTTCTCTGACTGAAAGCTAATCTCTGCACTTTTGGATGAAACAGACTCCCATAAATAAACTGATGCACTAAATAATCTGTGACATTGAGGCGGGCAGGTTTTGTATCAGCACAACAGTCTGGCCAAATTAGATAACATAAATCTTGAGATGAAGAAATTAGGAAACGCATCACACCAGTTGTGAAGTCTATATCATGTTTTCTTTAGGCAGCAGCAACTTACAGTAGATGTAGACAGAAACAAACAAGGAAAGAGGTGGATATCTGAAAGTCGTCCTGCTTACCGCATGCCCACAGGTCCACAGCTTTGCCATATGGGTCCTTCCTCAGGACCTCAGGAGACAGGTAACCAGGTGTCCCTGCAAAGCCTGCATCACATCCAGACAGAGAGGCAGTGAGTCACAGATAATGCAGCTCTATTGAAAATCAAATGCTAGGCAACAAGCAATGGGAAACAATGTCTAGATACTTTTTTCCAGTGGAGATCAAGTTTATGAATTGCCTGGATGGGCTGTAGGACAGTGGATGTGCATTGATAATTCAAATGGAACTGTTAACAGGCATTTGTTATTTTTATTTTTTACTTATCTATTTTTTACTTAACACTTATTTTTCTTAAAACTGCATTGTTAGTTAGGGGCTTGTAAGTAAGCATTTCACTGTAAGGTCTACACTTGTTGTATTCGGCGCATGTGACAAATACAATTTGATTTGATTTGATTATCTTCAATAACTAACGGCTATCAACCTATCAGCATCCAGGATGCAAACGTATCATTTTATAAAGCTCTACAAGGGATTCTCTCAGTGTAATAAAAGAACAAGGTGATAGAGTTTAGCTCTATATAATGTCCTAAATACTGGTACAAGCGTAACGCTATTCAATACATTGTGATATAGGCTTTGATCAAAGGCACATGCTGTTTTAAGTGTGAAGTGACACTAACCATATCAATCCATTATATATTATAATACAGTATAGAGAGTTCAGTATCTTTGAATTCTAAAATGCACAAAATACTTCAACCTTTCTAGCAATATAACAAAGAAAAAAACAGAAGTATTCCTGGAGCACTACAAATGAACTTTGTATTCTGTCACAAACCAGGAACAGAGCACAGTGTTCGAGAGATCTGCTCTGATATTATCTTCCCCTTATGTAAGAGAGAGTAATAACATTATTCACATGTTCCTGGGCTCGCCTGCCTCACATTTCTCTCAATAGAGCTTCATTTGAGGTATGAGGTCCATATCCTTATTACCTACCCTGACCAGACAGGTTTCTAATGTTCTAAGTCTGGTCATGAACTCTCTCTGAGGGGTGATGAGACCTTTATTTTACTGTTGTTTCAACGATTCACCACATCTTCTCATGTTCCAGCCTTGTTATGTGGACAAATGGATTATATATCAATCATCCGACAGAGAAGAAGAACGCATTCTTCCGTTTATTCTCCAGACCCAGGGAACCAGCCTGGGGTTTTACGCACTGTGAACAAAGGACAGGTTGAAATATCCAAACTCATTTTCATTTAGGAAATGATAAAGCATCATGTGAAGAGTACAGTACAGTATAATTATAATGAACAGCAGAGCTGGGTGTGACAGCACCACCAGCTGTCCTTTGGAAACATCAAAATATAGTTTTTGTCTCAAAAAGCAGCCAGCCAGGTGTTCCCCAAAGGATTTAGAAAAATCATCCTGATCTAAGAGAGGTGTGTCTTTAAAAATGAGCTGTGGGTATTGGATAAGTGTCCTCTAGCTCATTAAAAACAGAATTCTAAAAGACATTCCTAGTTCCCTAGTTTTAAAACGTATGTTTGATTCTGCTCAACACAGCATAGTGCCAAAGGGCAGACTGGTGAAACATCTGAGGTACTGTGATGTCACGAAGCAGACTCAAAACTATGGGAGACAGGGCTTTCAAGACCGTGCTGTTCAGAAAAGCTTTCCAAGACCTCTGTTAATTCTGTTCTCATGTCCTCTGGATCTGACGACACCTGTATATAGCTTTGATTGTTGTCTGTGTTCTATGTTGTGTTTTGGATAGTTTTTATTATCATTATTATTTTGTATTTTTTATTTTTTATTTTTTTACACCTTGGGTGTGAGAAATGCACTTTAACAAATTCTATGTATTATTATTTGTATGTATTTATTAAATTACTGAGCACATCCTCAGGCAGGCATGGAAAACCACAGCATTGGGTCAGCAGAGAGATTGGGTCAGCAGAGAGATTGGGTCAGCAGTGAGATTGGGTCAGCAGAGAGATTGGGTCAGCAGAGAGATTGGGTCAGCAGAGAGATTGGGTCAGCAGAGAGATTGGGTCAGCAGAGAGATTGGGTCAGCAGTGAGATTGGGTCAGCAGAGAGATTGGGTCAGCAGAGAGATTGGGTCAGCAGAGAGATTGGGTCAGCAGTGAGATTGGGTCAGCAGTGAGATTGGGTCAGCAGAGAGAGACTTCCCTCCTGGTTTAGGTAGAGTTCCTATCCCAGGGGCTCATGTGATTGGCTGGATAAAAAGTCATTGATTTCCTGTGACCTTCTGAACCCAAGGGCACCAATCACACGGCAGCACCAGTCAGTCTGACTGGTTAGTTAGACCAATCAGTCAGCTAGGTTAGTTAGAGCAGTCAGTCAGTTAGGTTAGTTAGAGCAGTCAGTCAGTTAGGTTAGTTAGACCAGTCAGTCAGCTAGGTTAGTTAGAGCAGTCAGTCAGCTATGTTAGTTTGAGCAGTCAGTCAGTTAGGTTAGTTAGAGCAGTCAGTCAGCTAGGTTAGTTAGAGCAGTCAGTCAGTTAGGTTAGTTAGAGCAGTCAGTCAGCTAGGTTAGTTAGAGCAGTCAGTCAGCTAGGTTAGTTAGAGCAGTCAGTCAGTTAGGTTAGTTAGACCAGTCAGTCAGTTAGGTTAGTTAGACCAGTCAGTCAGCTAGGTTAGTTAGAGCAGTCAGTCAGCTAGGTTAGTTAGAGCAGTCAGTCAGCTAGGTTAGTTAGACCAGTCAGTCAGTTAGGTTAGTTAGACCAGTCAGTCAGTTAGGTTAGTTAGAGCAGTCAGAGTGAAGGAAAATGAGCTATGTCTAACCTATTCCAGCAGGCCTCACTACTAACGAGTCTGGATGGCGCTGAGGTGACATTTCTAAATAAATAAAACAAGCAGTAAACAGCCCTCTTTCCCCTGTGGTAGTCATGGCGCTACAAAACTAGTTATTCCTACCTTGATGATCTTTTGTTAGGCAAACTTTCCCTTTGTTTTCAGTTTTTGGTATTTCTCCGGTATAGCTGTAGAGAAAATGTTTCTTTTTTGATGATATTCGATGCAAAGCGTTTGTTTGATTGGATTCCATAGGAGTCTTTGAATGATTGATTTCCCTCTGAAGGTTCTGTTTCCCTGGTGGAAATATTAACATTATACATCCTAAATCTTGTATAAGTCGAGCTCCTTTAGAAGCCAGTCCTTATTTGCATTTATGTTTTGTGTGTGTGTGTGTGTCTGTGTGTGTGTGTGTGTGTGTGTGTGTGTGTGTGTGTGTGTGTGTGTGTGTGTGTGTAATTACGATTCATATCAGCCATTACCGAACCAGGCTTGTTGGTCCCCCTCCACCTCGATGGCCAGGCCGAAATCTGCCAGCTTCACTGCAGCTCCCTTGGACTTGGAGGCAAGCAGAAGGTTTTCAGGCTGCATACAAAGAGAGAGGTCAGTCAGTCAGTTAGTCAGTCAGCCAGCCAGTCAGTCAGCAGTCAGTCAGCCAGAGGAGACAGGAGGCCTGAGCAGAAGTAGGGATACGGTGGCAGACAGACATGATTCTAGGCTGGGCCTGATTGAATTGTGTTAATGGCTTTGTGTTGTTGCAGCATGACAGAGCTCTGATAAATACAGCCACCCACCCAGCCACTTCTATCCCACACAGATGGAGGAATGAACACCCCACCTCCCGCCGCCAATCACTCTACTGCTGCTGCTATTAGATGTTATCCACCCCCTGATAAACACAGACACGCACCAGACGCACTCACGAACGCACGCACGCAGGCACACATATGCAAACACAAACACACACACACACACACCTAACATTGCAGCCCACACAAATCCATTTTATCACTCCATCTTCCCTCAGTTCCCAGGTGCTGGGAGGCAGATGTGAAACGATGTGAATGGAACATTTATCTGTGGGGCAGAAGGGTGTCTCTTTGTACAAGCATTTGTTAGTGCATGATAATAACAGTGAGTGTTGAAGCAGTCTGTAAGAAATATAAAATAAAAGATATGATGGAATGAACAAAAATGTACCTTTGAAAGAGTGTGGGTATATATAGCGGTACTTGAATATGTGTATTAATAAATGAAACAGTACTGGAACCTATCCTGTGATTGATCTGTCCCTCATTGACACCACAACAGGGCAGATATACTCTAGAACACGTCAATGCTGTCCGATGTGATGGAGATGGTGTGAGGGTTTGTTGCCGCTTTTACTGTAGGCCTAAATTGGTTTTAGAAACCCCACTCTTTTATTTGTCCCTTGAGCTGACATTGAGATATGGAGTACATGTACTGTACTTGGCAAGTTGGCAACAGAACAGTGGATCGATGGTGGTTGCACTGTAAGTGAATGCCTATTTTATAATCATCAAACTGTGTGCAGGGGAAATTACTTAAGACAGAAGAGGGTCTAGCAGCATGTCCCCTGAATGCTCTGATTGGTTTGATTGGGCTTTTGTTATTATGTCCACATACCTACAGCTGAATCCCTCTCTGACAGTCATGGCTACGATTGCAAAATTCTGGGAACGTTCAATAAATTCCCTGGTTTTCCAGAAATCCTGGATGGAGAATTCCAGATGTCCTGCTTATTCCCTTCTGACTCTGGGAATCCTTCAACCGGGACTTTGGAAAAACCAGGGAATGTATTGAAAGTTCCTGGAATTTTGCAACCCTAGTCATGGCAGAGAGGGTTGGCCTGTTGGCCTGTTATCTGCTGCCTGAGGAGCAAACATTACATAAATAGATGTGTCCTCAAGGTTCAAATTAAAAAAGAGCCTGGATGGCTAAAATGAATGGTTGAATGTGTTTGAAATTAATAAAAAATAAAAATTAAAAAAATCATCTGAAGTTTCTGCATACACTCTGCATACAGGTGCTATCTGGAACCTAAAAGGGTTATTTGGCTGTCCCCATAGGATAACCCTTTGAATAACCCTATTTGGTTCCAGGTAAAACCCTTTTGGTTCCATGGGGCGGCATGTAGCTTAGTGGGTAAGAGTGTTGTGCCAGTAACCGAAAGGTTGCTGGTTCTAATCCCCGAGCCGACTAGGTGAAAAATCTGTTGATGTGCCCTTAAGCAAGGCACTTAACCCTAATTGCTCCTGTAAGAGCATCTGCTAAATGACTAAAATGTAAACGTGGAACCCTTTACACAGAGGGTTCTACATGGAACCCAAAAGAGTTCTACTTGGAACCAAAAATGGTTCTCCTATGGGGACAGCTGAAGAACCCTTTTTTCTAAGAGTGTACAGATTATTTATATTCAAATCCATTTTTGATCAAATCAATCAAATAACAACAATATCATCAAAGTGATATCTTGCAGTGGATAAACAGTCTGTGACTTTTCATTTATTCCTTATTCAATCTTACCTTGAGGTCTCTGTGAACGACTCCCATCTGATGACAATGAAGCACTGCCTCCAGAATCTGCTGAATGCAATGACTATGAAAGGAGAGAGAGAGAGAACTGAAAGGCTGAGTGCGCTGAGAGGTCGGAGAGGCTAAATTGAATGCTATTGAAAATGGGCTTCACTTCAGCATTAATCCACACAGCATTTTGGATAAAATGGCCTGTGCACCTCCAAAACAATACAAATCCACACAGAGGCGTTAGAGTTGGCCATTCATTTTCCTAAACTGTCGATCAACACAGTAGCACGGGCCAAAGCCTGATGAGTTTTTGCATGTTTGGCTGGGAGTCAGTGGGAAGATTATTAGCAACTAGACTCAGCTGTCAATCAAGCAGTGGAGCGTGGAGCAGGGAGAACCCGGTCCGCAGAGATAGAGAGACTGACACGCTAAACCCGGGCGAAGCGTGTACATTGACGGGAGGACACCTCCACAGCCATCTGTTTCCATTTGTTTCTGTTCATTAATTTGTTTTGTAGCCCTTTCGCTCTGTCACTGCAAATCAATGGCCCAGTCCATAGTTGGTGTTGGGTGAAGTGGGGAGATAGTCTATCATGAATAGGCTTATGGAGGTAAAGCTGTTCAATCCAAATGAACAGTCCAATAATGGACCTGCATAATGGATCTTTTTAGATAAAAACTATACTAAATATATTCACGTTACCAAATAATTGATTAAAACACACTGTTTTGCAATGAAGGTCTACAATAGCCTCAACACCACTCTGTAGGGTAGCACCATGGTGTAGTCGGAGGACAGCTAGTTTTCCGTCCTCCTCTAGGTACATTGACTTCAGTACAAAACCTAGGAGGCACGTGGTTCTCACTCCCTTCCATAGACTTACACAGTAATTATGACAACTTCTGGAGGATGTCCTCCGACCTATCAGAGCTCTTGCAGCATGAACTGACATGTTGTCCACCCAATCAAAGGATCAGAGAATGAATCTAGTACTGAAAACATAAGCTACAGCTAGCTAGCACTGCATAAAATGTGGTGAGTAGTTGACGCAAAGAGAGAGAAAGACAATAGTTGAACAGTTTTGAACAAATGTATTTATTTATAAATGAAGGAGAAGCGAGAGAGAGAGAGAGAGAGAGAGAGAGAGAGAGAGAGAGAGAGAGAGAGAGAGAGAGAGAGAGAGAGAGAGAGATAGCTATATTTTGTTGTATTTATTTTTTCACTTTCACTTACTTAGCTAGCGAATGCAGCTAGCTAGTTTAGCCTACTCAAACACCCGGCTCAAACAGAGAAGGCTGCTATGTTAGCTAGCTGGCTATGGCTATCCAACACTGGAACTTTTCCAAGTCAAGTTAAGCTTTTGGTTGTATTAATATATTGCCACTGAGGCCCGCCGGTGTGACTGCTTATCAACGGCTGACTGTACACTGCACTGCATGATTGTAGAGGGTTTACTAATGCATTAGTTCTAGTAGCTATTCTCACTATGACGTTACTATGGTGACAACGATGTAGACTGTGTAGCGGTTAGCGGTTATGATATGAAGGTTTGGCTTGGATAGGTTTTTTCGCCTGGTCACAGAAAGATGATGTGTTGTGCACTGAAGTCCACAAGCAAAGGAAAAAGGTGAGAGGAGGAGAGCACGTATATGCGAGTAGGAATACAACGATCATGCTGTTTGTATGTGGCTGCTATGAAATTGAACTGTGTTTGCATGTGATCAGGGGTGTATTCATTCTGCCGATTCTGTTGAAAAATGTTTCTTAAATGGAAGCAAACGAAACGGTGATAAACATCAAATCAAATCAAATTGTATTTGTCACATGCGCCGATTACAACAGGTGTAAGACCTTACCGTGAAATGCTTACTTACAAGCCCTTAACCAACACTGCAGTTTTTAGAAAATAGAGTTAAGAAAATATTTACTAAATAAACTAGAGTAAAATTTTAAATTGTAAAAAGTAACACAATACCGGTACCGAGTCAATGTGCGGGGGTACAGGTTAGTCAAGGTAATTTGTACTTGTAGGTAGGGGAATTTGTCCAATAGAAACTCTCGTTTGCAACTGTTGGACTAATGATTGCATCCTAGATCAGCTACATGCAGGCAAGAGTGTGCAAGGCGGTATTGAATATTGTCAATGTCTGTCACCTTGATTACTTCAATTTATCTCGACCTGTGCACCTACGTTGTAAACTTTCACTCATAGGCTAGGTCGTAGCAAGCTCATGATGGGTATAGGGAAAATGTGAGTATCATGTAGTAGCCTAAACCTATCGATATTATTACATTGAACTGGGTGAATGGAATATGAATGACAGTTATCCAATATGCTGTAAAAGAAATAAGGCCATGCTCATAAAACAATTATCGTCCTCACTCATCTTAAGACAATATACAGTATATCATATATATATACGACCACCACTGTAGACAATATACAGTATATCAGGGTTCTATATATATGCCTTTAGATCCTCTCCAATCTCTGGTTTGGGAGTGCTGTGACCTCTGTATAATTCAATGAATACATGTTACAGTGAAAATTCTTACGTTGAAATCTCTAAATTGCTTTGTTACGAATCTGTGTTTGGGTGTATTATGGGAGTTTTGTGAGGTGGTTTCACTGACCTGGCGTCAGCCTCGCTGTAGTACTCTCGAGCAACAATGTCTTCGAAGAGCTCCCCGCCCGTCACTCTGAGGAAGAGAGAGGATTGTTAGGCTGCCAGAGGATGAAGGTGGCCACCAGAGCATGGAGCCAATGTGAGAGAAATACACCCTTCTCAATACCCCCATATCAGCCACTGAGACACACTGACAACTGTGTGTTTTTTTTTGTGTTTTTTCTTTTGGGGGGGGGGGGGGTTAGATCAGCTTTAATATTGCAGATAGATTGTGGCTTCCATCAGTGTAATTGTCTGCATCATTTCCAATCCCCCATATATTTTTGGGTAAATATATCAAATAACTGGGAGACAACTGTGTGTTGACATGGAACCTAACAGGCACCTCCAAATGTAAATGTCTGATGTGTGAAAAGGAACATCATTGACAAAAACCAAGCAGTTGTCTCCCTGTTGCAAAGTTCAGACTTTGAGAGTATGAATCCTCAACAGGACACTCTAAGTAACAGCTAAATGTTACCCAGTCATGCGTTCACAGGATACTAGGAGACAGCTAAATGTTGTCAAGTCATGCCTTCACAGGATACTAGGAGACAGCTAAATGTTCCCAGTCATGCCACAGGATACAGGAGAGAAATTACCCACCTTTCAATACTAGGAGACACTAAATGTTTTCTTATGCCTTCAGGATAGAGGAGATCAGCTTTACATATTGCAGAGATAGATTTGGTTCCATCATGTAATTGCAGCAATTTACCATCCGCCCAAATTTGGGTAAATGTATCAAATAACTGGAGACACAATGTGTTGACATGGACGATACAAGGACTCAAATGTAAAGTCATGCATGTAAAAAGGAAACTATTGTACAATACATCACAGGATCTAGGATACTAGAGACAGCTAAATGTTACCCAGTCATGCTTCACAGGATACTAGGAGACAGCTAAATGTTACCCAGTCATGCCTTCACAGGATACTAGGAGACAGCTAAATGTTACCCAGTCATGCATTCACAGGATACTAGGAGACAGCTAAATGTTACCCAGTCATGCATTCACAGGATACTAGGAGACAGCTAAATGTTACCCAGTCATGCATTCACAGGATACTAGGAGACAGCTAAATGTTACCCAGTCATGCCATTCACAGGATACTAGGAGACAGCTAAATGTTACCAGTCATGCATTCACAGGATACTAGGAGACAGCTAAATGTTACCCAGTCATGCATTCACAGGATACTAGGAGACAGCTAAATGTTACCCAGTCATGCTTCACAGGATACTAGGAGACAGCTAAATGTTACCCAGTCATGCATTCACAGGATACTAGGAGACAGCTAAATGTTACCCAGTCATGCATTCACAGGATACTAGGAGACAGCTAAATGTTACCCAGTCATGCATTCACAGGATACTAGGAGACAGCTAAATGTTACCCAGTCATGCATTCACAGGATACTAGGAGACAGCTAAATGTTACCCAGTCATGCCTTCACAGGATACTAGGAGACAGCTAAATGTTACCCAGTCATGCCTTCACAGGATACTAGGAGACAGCTAAATGTTAACCCAGTCATGCATTCACAGGATACTAGGAGACAGCTAAATGTTACCCAGTCATGCCTTCACAGGATACTAGGAGACAGCTAAATGTTTCCCAGTCATGCCTTCACAGGATACTAGGAGACAGCTAAATGTTACCCAGTCATGCCTTCACAGGATACTAGGAGACAGCTAAATGTTAACCAGTCATGCTTCACAGGATACTAGGAGACAGCTAAATGTTACCCAGTCATGCCTTCATAGAATAAACACATAGACTGGCACACACTGACCAAGTATCGCTAGATATACAGTATGAATTATGTAAACAAATATACACTCAGAATAATAAGTAGATAAAGTCTGATATTTGTAGGCCTATCTCATAAACCTGCTAGTACAAATTGATTGGGCTCTGACGAAGGAGATTGCTACTAAATGTGTCAGCTTTAAAGACTATCAAAGGGAATTTCGTTTTTCTTAGTCTCTCATTTTTGTCTGTTTTTGATCCCAAAGAATTAAGAAAATGTGATCTTTCTGATATGGGCACTATAATCAAAGTGAATCTATAGCAAGGGACTGCTTCTAAACACTATCCTGCTGTTTCAGATGAGTTAAGAACAACTTGCATTGTCAAATCAAATCAAATATTATTTGTCACATGCACTGAATGTGTAGACCTTACAGTGAAATGCTTACTTACAAGCCCTTAACCAACAATGCAGTTTTAAGAAAAATAAGTGTTAAGTAAACAATAGATAAGTAAAAAATAAAAGCAGTAAAATAACAGTAAAAATAACAGTAGCAAGGCTATATACAGGGGGTACCGGTACAGAGTCAATGTGCGGGGGCACCGGTTAGTCCAGGTAATTTTTTATTAATTTTTTATTTAACCTTTATTTAACCAGGTAAGCCAGTTGAGAACAAGTTCTCATTTACAACTGCGACCTGGCCAAGATAAAGATAATTGAGGTAATATGTACATGTAGGTATAGTTAAAGTGACTATGCATAGATAATAAACAGAGAGTAGCAGCAGCGTAAAAGAGGGGGTCCGGGTAGCCATTTGATTAGCTGTTCAGGAGGGTCATTAAGATCTTCTTACGCAACACTTTGTCATGCTGCTCATCGTCACACTCACAAAGCTGTCCTTTTTCATTCAGAGACACTTAACAGGAAGCTAAAAGAAGACGCCTCGTTACCGATGCAAGAAGAATTCTCTTGAAGGTACAATATAAAGACATTTCCCGTTAGTGTAATATAATTCCAGTTTCTGTAATATAATTCCAGTTTCTGTAATATAATTCCAGTTTCTTTAATATAATTCCAGTTTCTGTAATATAATTCCAGTTTCTGTAATATAATTCCAGTTTCTGTAACATAATTCCAGTTTCTTTAATATAATTCCAGTTTCTGTAATATAATTCCAGTTTCTGTAATATAATTCCAGTTTCTGTAATATAATTCCAGTTTCTGTAATATAATTCCAGTTTCTGTAATATAATTCCTGTTCCTGTAATATAATTCCAGTTTCTTTAATATATTTCCAGTTTCATTAATGAAAAGCGTTCAACACCTGCAGGGGACTGTAATCACTGTTGAGCAGACTGAAATCAAACGTTCCTAGAAAGGCATTGAAAGATATTACAACAGTTGAGTGTTTAAAATGCATATTAGAGTGATTTTTAAAGAACTCATATATTTTGGTGCACTCAGAGAATACGAAGCAACCTCAACACTATGGCAGGGATCATCAACTAGATTCAGCAGTGGGACGATTTTGTTCTTGAGCAGATGGTCAGGGGGCTGGAAAATAATTACAAATAATTTGTGGACCGCAAATAGACCACAAGAAGCCCAAACATATATAATAGTTGACTAAAACATAATAATTTCAAACCTTGCTTACATTTACAGTTGAAGTCGGAAGTTTACATACACTTAGGTTGGAGTCATTAAAACTTGTTTTTCAACCACTCCACACATTTCTTGTTAACAAACTATAGTTTTGGCAAGTTGGTTTGGACATCTACTTTGTGCATGACACAAGTAATTTTTCCAACAATTGTTTACAGACAGATTATTTCACTTATAATTCACTGTATCACAATTCCAGGGGGTCAGAAGTTTACATACACTAAGTTGACTGTGCCTTTAAACAGCTTGGAAAATTCCAGAAAATGATGTCATGGCTTTAGAAGCTTCTGATAGGCTAATTGACATAATTTGAGTCAATTGGAGGTGTACCTGTGGATGTATTTCAAGGCCTACCTTCAAACTCAGTGCCTCTTTGCTTGACATCATCGGAAAATCAAAAGAAATCAGCTAAGACCTCAGCAAAAAATGTGTAGACCTCCACAAGTCTGGTTCATCCTTGGGAGCAATTTCCAAACGCCTGAAGGTACCACGTTCATCTGTACAAACAATAGTACGCAAGTATAAACACCATGGGACCACGCAGCCGTCACACCACTCAGGAAGGAGACGCGTTCTGTCTCCTAGAGATGAACATACTTTGGTGCGAAAAGTGCAAATCAATCTCAGAACAACAGCAAAGGACCTTGTGAAGATGCTGGAGGAAACAGGTACAAAAAAATCTACAGTAAAATGAGTCCTATATCGACATAACCTGAAAGGCAGCTCAGCAAGGAAGAATCCACTGCTCCAAAACCGCCATAAAAAAGCCAGACTACGGTTTGCAACTGCACATGGGAACGAAGATCGTACTTTTTGGAGAAATGTCCTCTGGTCTGATGAAACAAAAATAGAACTGATTGGCCATAATGACCATCGTTATGTTTGGAGGAAAAAGGGGAATGATTGCAAGCTGAAGAACACCATCCCAACCGTGAAGCACGGGGGTGGCAGCATCATGCTGTGGGGGTGCTTTGCTGCAGGAGGGACTGGTGCACTTCACAAAATAGATGGCATCATGAGGAAGGAAAATTATGTCTACTATTATTCTGACATTTCACATTCTTAAAATAAAGTGGTGATCCTAACTGACCTAAGACAGGGAATTTTTACTAGGATTAAATGTCAGTAATTGTGAAAACTAGTTTAAATGTATTTTGCTAAGTAGTATGTAAACTTCCGACTTCAACTGTATATACGATCACATATACAGTGCATTTGGAAAGTATTCAGACCCCTTACCTTTTTCCACATTTTGTTACGTTACAGGCTTATCCTAAAATTGATTAAATAAATAAAATCCTCATCAATCTACACACAATACCCCATAATGACAAAATGAAAACAGGTTTTTAGACATTTTTTCAAATCTATTAAAAGTAAAAAACAGAAATACCTCATTTACATAAGTATTCAGACCCTTGGTTATGAGACTCAAAATTCAGCTCAAGTGCATCCGGTTTCCATTGATCATCGTTGAGATGTTTCTACAACTTGATTGGAATCCACCTGTGGTAAATTCAATTGACTGGACATGATTTGGATAGGCACACACCTGTCTATATAAGGTCCCACAGTTGACAATGCATGTCAGAGCAAAAAACAAGCCATGAGGTCGAAGGAATTGTCCTTAGAGCTCCGAGACAAGATTGTGTCAAGGCACCGATCTGGGGAAGGGTACCAACACATTTCTGCAGCATTGAAGGTCCCCAAGAACACAGTGGCCTACATCATTCTTAAATGGAAGAAGTTTGGAACCACCAAGACTCTCCTAGAGCTGGCCGGCCGGCAAACTGAGCAATCGGGGGAGAAGGGCCTTGGTCAGGGAGGTAACCAAGAACCCGATGCTCACTCTGACAAAGCTCCAGAGTTCCTCTGTGGAGATGGGAGAATCTTCCAGAAGGACAACCATCTCTGCAACACTCCACCAATCAGGCCTTTATGGTAGTGTGGCCAGACGGAAGCCACTCCTCAGTAAAAGGCACATGACAGCCCGCTTGGAGTTTGCCAAAAGGCACCTAAAGGACTTTCAGACCATGAGAAACAAGATTCTCTGGTCTGATGAAACCAAGATTGATCTCTTTGGCCTGAATGCCAAGCGTCACGTCTGGAAGAAACCTGGCACCATCCCTACTGTGAAGCATGGTGGTTGCAGCATCATGCTGTGGGGATGTTTTTCAGCGGCAGGGACAGGGAGACTAGTCAGGATCGAGGGAAAGATGAACGGAGAAAAGTACAGAGAGATCCTAGTACGGAGAAAACCTGCTCCAGAGCACTCAGGACCTCAGACTGGGGTGAAGGTTCACCTTCCAACAGGACAATGACCCTAAGCACACAGCCAAGACAACGCAGGAGTGGCTTCGGGATAAGTCTCTGAAGGTCCTTGAGTGGCCCAGCCAGAGCCCGGACTTGAACCCGATCAAACATCTCTGGAGAGACCTAAAAATAGCTGTCCAGCAACGCTCCCCATCCAACCTGACAGAGCTTGAGAGGATCTGCGGAGAAGAATGGAAGTAACTCCCCAAATACAGGTGTGCCAAGCTTGTAATCGCTGCCAAAGGTGCTTCAACAAAGTACTGAGTTAAGGGTCTGAATACTTATGTAAATGTGATATTTCAGCTTTTCATATTTTTTAAATTAGCAAAAAAGTCTAAAAACCTGTTTTTTGCTATGTCATTATGGGGTATTGTGTGTAGATTGATGAGGGGGGAAAAAAACTATTTAATCAATTTTAGAATAATGCTGTAACGTAACAAAATATGGAAAAAGGGAAGGACGAATCTTCCGAATGACTGTTTCTGTTTGTTTTTGACAGTCTTTATATATCTTATCCAACAATAATATAAATAAATAGTTACTCTTTAAATAACTCTAACATAACATTTCATAAACTACGCTATTCAAAAGTTTGGGTCACTTAGAAATGTCCTTGTTTTCGAAAGAAAAGCATTTTTTTCGTCCATTAAAATAACATCAAATTGATCAGAAATACAGTGTAGACATTGTTAATGTTGTAAATGGCTATTGTAGCTGGAAACTGCTGATTTTTTATGGAACATCTACATAGGCGTACAGAGGCCCATTATCAGCAACCATCAGTTCTGTGTTCCAATGGCACGTTGTGTTTGCTAATCCAAGTTTATCATTTTAAAAGGCTAATTGATCATTCGAAAACCCTTTTGCAATTATGTTAGGACAGCTGAAAACTGTTGTGCTGATTAAAGAAGCAATAAAACTGGCCTTCTTGAGACTAGTTGAGTATCTGGAGCATCAGCAATTGTTGGTTCGATTAGAGGCTCAAAATGGCCAGAAACACGTCAGTCTATTCTTGTTCTGAGAAATTAAGGCTATTCCATGCGAAAAATTGCCAAGAAACTGAAGATCTTGTACAACGCTGTGTACTACTCCCTTCACAGAACAGCGCAAACTGGCTCTAACCAGAATAGAAAGAGGAGTGGGAGGCCCCGGTTCACAACTGAGCAAGAGGACAAATACATTAGAGTGTCTAGTTTGAGAAACAGACGCCTCACAGGTCCTCAACTGGCAGCTTCATTAAATAGTACCCGCAAAACACCAGTCTCAACGTCAACAGTGAAGGGGCGACTCCGGGATGCTGAGAAAAAGTTGCAAAGAAAAAGCCATATCTCAGACTGGCCAATAAAAATAAAAGATTAAGATGGGCAAAAGAACACAGACACTGGACAGAGGAAGATTGGGAAAAAGTGTTATGGACAGACGAATCGAAGTTTGAGGTGTTCGGATCACAAAGAAGAACATTTATGAGACGCAGACCAAATTAAAAGATGCTGGAGGAGTACTTGATGCCATCTGTCAAGCATGGTGGAGGCAATGTGATTGTCTGGGGGTGCTATGGTGGTGGTAAAGTGGGAGATTTGTACAGGGTAAAAGGGATCTTGAAGAAGGAAGGCTATCACTCCATTTTGCAACGCCATGCCATACCCTATGGACGGCTCTTGATTGGAGCCAATTTCCTCCTACAACAGGACAATGACCCAAAGCACAGCTCCAAACTATGCAATAAATATTTAGGGAAGAATCAGTCAGCTGGTATGTCTATAATGGAGTGGCCAGCACAGTCACCGGATCTCAACCCTATTGAGTTGTTGTGGGAGTAGCTTGACTGTATGGTACGTAAGAAGTGCCCATCAAGCCAATCCAAATTGTGGGAGGTGCTTCAGGAAGCATGGGGTGACATCTCTTCAGATTACCTCAACAAATTGACAACTAGAATGCCAAAGGTCTGCAAGGCTGTAATTGCTGCAAATGGAGGATTCTTTGACAAAAGCAAAGTTTGAAGGACACAATTATTATTTCAATTAAAAATCATTATTTCTAACCTTGTCAATGACTACATTTCCTATTCATTTTGATATATTTCCTATTCAAACTCATTTCATGTGTGTTTTCATGGAAAACAAGGACATTTCTAAGCGACCCCAAACTTTTGAACGGTAGTGTATATTTATTTATTTTACTCAGAAAACTTGGGGGGCCAAATACAATCACCCCATTAAAAAAAAGAGAAGAAAAAGTGGTTGTCCCACTGGCTATCAGAAGTTGAATGCACCTTTGTAAGTCGCTCTGGATAAGAGCGTCTGCTAAATGATGTAAATGTAAATCTAAATAAAGACAATAACAATTTTAATAAAATAAAAAAATATTATACAAAAAATATATGTATTATACTGTATATATATATACAGTACCATCGAGAAGTTTGACCACACCTACTCATTCAAGGTTTTTCTGTATTTTACTATTTTCCTACATTGTAGAATATAGTGACGACCATCAAAACTATGAAATAACACATATGGAATCTATAGTAACCAAAAAAGTGTTAAACAAATCAAAATATATTTTAGATTTTTAGATTCTTCAAAGTAGCCACCCTTTGCCTTGATGACAGCTTTACATTCTCACAACCAGCTTCATGAGGTAGTCACCTGGAATGCTTTTCCAACAGTCTTGAAGGAGTTCCAACATATGCTGAGCACTTGTTGGCTGCTTTTCTCTGCGGTCCAACTCATCCCAAACCATCTCAATTGGGTTGAGGTTGGGTGATTGTGAAGGCCAGGTCATCTGATGCAGCACTCCATCACTCTCCTTCCTGGTCAAATAGCCCTTACACAGCCTGGAGGTGTATTTTGGGTCATTGTCCTGTTGAAAAACAAATGATAGTCCCACTAAGCGCAAACCAGATGGGATGACGTATCGCTACAGAATGCTGTGGTAGCCATGCTGGTTAAGTGTGCCTTGAATTCTAAATAAATCACAGACAGTGTCACAAGCAAAGCATCCCCACACCATCACACCTCCTCCTCCATGCTTCATGGTGGGAACCACACATGCGGAGATCATCCGTTCACCTACTCTGCTTTTCACAAAGACACGGCGGTTGGAACCAAAAATCTCAAATTTGGACTCATCAGACAAAAGGACAGATTTCCATCAGTCTAATGTCCATTGCTCATGTTTCTTGGCCCAAGCAGGTCTCTTCGTCTTATTGGTGTCCTTTAGTAGTGGTTTCTTTGCAGCAATTCGACCATGAAAGGCCTGATTCACGCAGTCTCCTCTGAACAGTTGATGTTGAGATTTGTCTGTTACTTGAACTCTGTGAAGCATTTATTTGGGCTGCAATCTGAGGTGCAGTTAACTCTAATGAATTTATCCACTGCAGCAGAGGTAACTCTGGGTCTTCCATTCCTGTGGCAGTCCTCATGAGAGCCAGTTTCATCATAGCGCTTGATGGTTCTTGCGACTGCACTTGAAGAAACTTTCAAAGTTCTTGACATTTTCCAAATTGACTGAACATGTCTTAAAGTAATGATGGACTGTCATTTCTCTTAGCTTATTTGAGTTGTTCTTGCCATAATATGGACTTGGGCCAAATAGGGCTATCTTCTGTATACCACCCCTAACTTGTCACAACACAACTGATTGGCTCAAACGCCAAGAAGGAAAGAAATTCCACAAATTAACTTTTAACAAGGCACACCTGTTAATTGAAATGCATTCCAGGTGATTACCTCATGAAGCTGGTTGAGAGATTGCCAAGAGTGTGCAAAGCTGTCATCAAGGCAAAAGGTGGCTACTTTGAAGAATCTCAAATATAAAATATATTTTGATTTGTTTAACAATTTTTTGGTTACTACATGATTCCATGTGTGTTATTTCATAGTTTTGATGTCTTCACTATTATTCTACAATGTAGAAAATAGTAAAAATAAAGAAAACCCCTGGAATGAGTAGGTGTGTCCAAACTTTTGACTGGTAGTGTATATGTTCCGGCCCCCCGACCATCCTCTCAGCCCGTGGCTGAATATAGTTAGGGACCCCTGGTGTATAGCTTACTGAGGAAATTTACTTATTGAAATCAGGACCTCTGCACACTGCCTAGCTCAGTGGTAGATATGCATTTACTGTGGTTCTGTCTCATACAGGCTGTTGTGCCGAGTGTGATTAGGACTCACATCAAGCCACCTCTCAGCCTGGAAGAATTATTGTGTCATTAATGTCAATCATTCCCACTGTGTGTGTGAGGACATGAATAGTGCAGGAAATATATTTACTGCATTGCATTACTCACAGGTCAAAGATCAGGTAGTGATGCCCTTCCTCTGAGATGCTGTCATGGAGACGCACTGGATAGAGAAAAGAGAGAAAGGAAGTAAACATGTTTTTAAGTGAAGTGCTGGGACTGAAAGCTCTAATATTTCCAACATGGAATGCACAGTCAGTGACCTTAAAATGTCTAAATCACACATATCTCAAACACCCAGTCCACTTCAAATCACAGTGTCTCACAATCCCCAAAATATCTGTTTTTCAAGAATATCTAGGTCTGGATTATAGGTAGAGGTAATTGAAGTGATGGTGCACAATGTTCATTAACTACGTAAGTCAAGCTTGGGTAGTGCTTGTGGTGTTCTGTTGCTGTTGTTATGTTATCTCCATGATGGAGAGAAGAGTATATACTCTTTCTCTCTCTCTCTCTCACTCTCTCCCTCCCTCCCGCCCTCTCGCTCTCTTTCTGTTGGATTGTTCTACTCACCAGTGCCCATCACCACCCTCCCCTCCTCTACCCCTCCCTCTCCCAGCAGGCAGTGTGTAATACTGCTCTGTGTGCATGTGTGTGGGAGTGTATGTACTGAGAGGAGAGGACACGTGTGTGTTTGTGTTTGTGTGTGGGTGCCAAGATAGAAATGAGAAAGAGGAATACTGCAGTTTAGATACCTTCACCTGCCAACCTCAATGCATAGCAACCGTCTCCCCATTACATAAGCCTGAAACAGCACACTCAGGTAATTCTCCTCAACTTTTCCCAAAAAGCTAAGGTCATGGAAGTAGTGATATCCCCATCAGTATGATAGCCTTGTGATCCTGAGCTGCGTTTTGAATGAGTGTGCAGAGAGGTAGTCTGGGTACCAGTCTGGTTAGCATTCCACTCCTTGCCACTCCTTGGAGATAAACAGACAGGTACCCAGGCTGCCAGAGAGGATCTACCAGAGGAAAAGGCCAATCTGGTGTTACTGATGGTGCTTTTGGCCTGTGACTGGCTGTGATGATTACCCTTGGCAAGGCTTTCCCTATCAGCCAAGGGGATACTCCAGTCCCTTTGTTATGGGTTCCGACTAGGCTAAGTCACAAAAGAGTATCACTTTTTAATGGAAACCTTTGACCCCAGACTCTTTAAGAACCTTTCATTTACCAATCACTTGTCTAGGCTGTTGTCAACCATCTGTCTGAGGAATTCCTACAGGAAACGCAAACTGAATAGGGATGTGTCTAACTGAATAGGGATGTGTCTAACTGAATAGAGATGTGTCTAACTGAATAGAGATGTGTCTAGCTGAATAGAGATGTGTCTAGCTGAATAGAGATGTGTCTAACTGAATAGGGATGTGTCTAGCTGAATAGAGATGTGTCTAGCTGAATAGAGATGTGTCTAGCTGAATAGGGGTGTGTCTAATTGAATAGAGATGTGTCTAACTGAATAGAGATGTGTCAAACTGAATAGAGATGTGTCTAACTGAATAGAGATGTGTCTACCTGAATAGAGATGGGTCTAACTGAATAGAGATGTGTCTAGCTGAATAGAGATGTGTCTAGCTGAATAGAGATGTGTCTAACTGAATAGGGATGTCTCTAACTGAATAGAGATGTCTAGCTGAATAGAGATGTGTCTAGCTGAATAGGGATGTGTCTAACTGAATAGAGATGTGTCTAGCTGAATAGAGATGTGTCTAGCTGAATAGAGATGTGTCTAACTGAATAGGGATGTGTCTAACTGAATAGAGATGTGTCTAGCTGAATAGAGATGTGTCTAGATGAATAGAGATGTGTCTAACTGAATAGGGATGTGTCTAGCTGAATAGAGATGTGTCTAGCTGAATAGGGATGTGTCTAATTGAATAGAGATGTGTCTAACTGAATAGAGATGTGTCAAACTGAATAGAGATGTGTCTAACTGAATAGAGATGTGTCTAACTGAATAGAGATGGGTCTAACTGAATAGAGATGTGTCTAACTGAATAGAGATGTGTCTAACTGAATAGAGATGTGTCTAACTGAATAGGGATGTGATGGCTCCTTTGTCTCTCCCACAAAGCAATATGACAATGTAATGTATGAATAATGTAAAATGAACAGCTGTACATAAAGACTAATGTGAAAGCCAAATTACAGAGGAGGAACTTCTTGACGCAATTAAAGTATTTAAGTCGGGGAAAACTCCAGGGCTGGATGGCATACCAATTGAGGTATACCAAACCTTCAGAGGACCGTTAATAGCATTTTTAACCACTCCTATAAAAATTGTAGATTATCAGATACTCAACAAGAAGGTCTAATTTAATTATTACTGAAACAGGACCCAGGTGGTAAATATAAAGATCTAGTCCATTAAAAAAATTGGAGGCCCCTTACACATGCAATTCTAGCAAAATGCATAGGGCATAGAATTAAAAAGGTATTGTCGGATATTATTCACCCTAATCAGACATGTTGTTTACATGGACAATACATTGGAGATAATATAAGACAAGTACTGGAAACAATAGAACACCTCGAAGAATCTGGGAAACCAGGCCTGGTATTCATAGCTGACTTTGAAAGGGCTTTTGAAAAAGTACGACTGGAATTTATATACAGTGCATTCGGAAAGTATTCAGACCCCTTCCCCTTTTCCACATTTTGTTCCGTTACAGCCTTTTTCTAAAATGTATTAAATCGTTTTTTTCCCTCATCAATCTACACACAATACCCCATAATGACAAAGCAAAAACTGGTTTTTGGAAATGTATTCTAAAATGTATTACATTGTCATGTCTGGAGGAAACCTGGCACCATCCCTACGGTGAAGCACGGTGGTGGCAGCATCATGCTGTGGGGATGTTTTTCAGTGGCAGGGACTGGGAGACTAGTCAGGATCGAGGGAAAGATGAACAGAGCAAAGTACAGAGATCCTTGATGAAAACCTGCTCCAGAGCACTCAGAACCTCAGACTGGGGCGAAGATTCACCTTCCAACAGGACAACGAATTTAGAGGTATTAATGTTACTTTAGTTGTTCTACAAATGTTGGGCTATATGTTTTGATTTTTAATACATTGTTAGGCTGCATGATGAGATTCTAATGATTTGAAAAAAGTCGCTTGAAAGCCATGAGCTCTGCTTTGTTTTTTGTGCAGGCTGCACACACTTCATCAGTCTCTCGTTCACAATTTGACAAGTACTTGATAATGCCTCGAATTTCGTGGTGGCATCCCCTTTGTAGCCGTAATGCACCCTAAAAAAATGTCTTCTCTTTTCCCTTCTCTCTGAGTGTGCTGCGCAATCGGAAGCCCTCTCACTCACATGGCTCTCTGTCACGTGATTGAGACATTCTCACAGGCTACAAATTAAGACAGACACATCTGAGACGCAACTGCACACGTCCTTATCCAATTCGGAGATGCATATTGAAGATATTGGCAGAACTTGTCCACATTTAATTTTCGTCAGCCAACAAGATGAGTAGGCCTAACGAACAGCAAAAGCAGTAGCCTATGTCAATCTACTATCCCCCATAGTACGAAAGTCAACCTATTCTATTCTGTGTGAAAATAAATATTCCAAACATAGTCTGGGAGAGTTGTGGGATGCGATAGATCCCAAATTAATACAACCACTAGCATCAAAAAAACGTATTTATGCAATGTGGCTGACGCAACAGATCAGAACGTTTAGCTTAAAATGTTAATAAACTATTAGGCTATTTCTTCACATTATAAGCGCAGAAATGCGCACATGGTAGTAGGCTATAAGCGGGAATGTTCCATTAGCGGAAAACACCATTATCAAAAGTGACTGCAAATCTATGTAATGCTTTTATTATAAAGGTGCCTTTTTATGGTGAAAATTACCTTCCCCAAACTTGAAACTCAGGCGCTGCTTATATATGCCATTTAGGCTCTACGCCCCATTGTAAAGTGGATTCATGTGGTTAATTTTAAGAAGTTATTTGGCCACTTTAGTTTTCATACAAACCTAATCAAAACATATAGGCCTATGAGGCTAGGCTACATGAGGTGTGCGACTATGATTAAAAAAAAGTGGGGAAAAAAAAGGCATTGTTTTTTATGCTGGTGTCACGAACGTTGAGAGACGGGTCGGACCAAGGTGCAGCGTGAAAAGCGTACGTTTATTAACTAAATAAACATTCAACAAAACAAGAAACAACGTAACGTGAAGTCCAAAAGGCTATACAAATACCAGCCTAACAGGAACAAGATCCCACAATACACAGTAGGCAATGGGCTACCTGAGGTATGATCCCCAATCAGAGACAACGAGCGACAGCTGCCTCTGATTGGGAATCACACCCGGCCAAACATAGAAATACATGTTCTAGATCCTAAACCTAGAATCTAATAACATAGAAATTCACACCCTGACCAACCAACAAGAGTTCTCTCGATCAGGGCGTGACAGCTGGGCATCATTCGAACGTGATAATATATAATTCACAAGTGATAGGCTAACATTGTCACCCATCAGACTTTTCTTGATTTAATCTTGTCTTTACATATACTAAATAATATATGTGTGACATTTGTTTTGATTTAGAACGTACCATTATCATGCATCTGTATCGAAACAGGGGCAGCGGGAAAAATACATGTTATCTATGCACTTAAATAGCGAATGGAGGATGCTTTTCCCCGTGGTTTATTTTCATGCCAGCCAGGTAGGCTATACTCCTGTTGTAAATATAAGCAATGTGCTTAACCCTCCCGTTGTCCTTGGGTCAAAATGACCTGCCACTGTGTTGAACCAACTTTTATTTTATTTGTATATTTTGGAGATAATTTGTGAGAAGGAGACAGTGAGACTTTCTGCCTCCTTCTCACAAATGATCCAAAAATATAAAATATATAAAAATAAAATAAAAGTTGGTTCAACACAGTGGCAGGTCATTTTGACCCAAGGACAACGGGAGGATTTTAATATTAGGAAAGTTGAGAAATAAATATAGTAGACCTAGCCTATAGAAAGCTGATGGGATCCTCCTCTTATTATTATCGGCCATCACTCTGTTTTCTCCCGCAATTGCAATGGGCTCTCATTAAGTGTTTGATTAGATTTTCGAATACATTTGCATTGATGTCAGAGTGATTAGAGGGACTATAGAGTGCTGAGTACCCGGCAGTTAGCAGGTTTGGTAGGCTACTAATGACCATCAGCAGCATCAGAGCTTGGAGAAGCCTAATTACCGTGACTAAACAATCAAGTGGAATTTGACTGCCTTCATGACTCGTGACCGCCGGTGTGGCGGTAATATGGTCACCGCAACATCTCTGGAGAGACCTGAAAATAGCTGTGCAGCGACGCTCCCCATCCAGCCTGACAGAGCTTGAGAGGATCTGCAGAGAAGAACGGGAGAAACTCCCCAAATTCAGGTGTGCCAAGCTTGTAACGTCATACCCAAAAGGACTCGAGGCTGTAATCTTAATTGCTTCAAGAAAGTACTGAGTAAAGGGTCTGCATACTTATGTAAAATTGCAGTTTTTTTTTTTTTTAAT